GGCCCCCCCCCCCCCCCCCCCCGCCACTGGGAAGTGCAGCCTGCCTTCGCCCCGTGCACAGATCCGGGGGGCACATGGTCCCCATTCCTCCATGCAACGGCAGGAGCACATTCCCCAGATGAGCCGCAGCTCTGTCCCATGGCCCACCATGGCTGTGCAGCCCTGCCCTGGTCCCACTCCCTCCCTCAACACAGGGGTCTCGATCTGTGTCCCCCACACCCCTTCCTCCCTCACATAGACTTACTGGTGGGATACTGCTCTCCAAGCTGCTGAGCTGCACTCCTGACTGTGTGCGTGCTGCAGCTGTGCACATGCATGCAGCATTGATCAACATCAGCCACATCAGCCAAAAAAAATGATTGCCAATAATGCCAATTTTCCTTTTATCAATCCTGATATGAGTGCACCTCTATGTAATATTAATAAAAATAAATTAATATTATGGAATCAAGTCTATTTTTCATTGTACGCACTTAATATTTAAATCCAAGATGATGTCCCACCCATTCAACATTGTCGGGGAAAGGCTCCTCATCTTGGATTTGAGTACAAAGCAGAGTTGGCAGCAGGTGATTGCTGTCTCCCCAGTTTTGGCCTTGAGCCTGGGTCAAGGCCAGAGTCACAACAGTAGCATCTGTCTGTTCCCCTCCCTGTGCCCACATCCTCCCTCATCATCTCCCACAGCTTCTGTCCCTTCTCCCCCACTGTTTACTATCAAACTCCATCTCCAGCCCCTGCCTGGCCATGTAAATATGGTAGTCTAGCTCTCAGATGGCACTGTATGGCCAGAGCTTGTGTGTATTCTGTGCCCAGAAGGGAATGGAGCCATACCCACACCAGACAATAAGCAGGTGGGAAGAGACTGCCTCCCATCTGGCATCATGTGGTGCCAGCACAAGCCAGAGTTGCCCCCCAAGTTGCCCACCAGCAGAGCCAGAGACCTGACCATGGCTCACCCAGGGCCTGCTGCACAGGGGTGGGTGGGCAAGGCTTTTTCTATCCGGCATCTCACTGGAGCCAGGGGGATGCAATTTGCCCCCACAGGCTCTGGTGAGCTGTGCTTATGTCCTGGCCTCTGCTGGCAGGCAGTGCCCGTGGCCCGCAGAGCTGGACTGCATCTCACAGGCACCGCGTGGGACACTTGGCAGAAGTAGCTCCAGCCATCTGGCACTGTGCAACAGAGCCTGAGTGAGCTATGCTCTAATGTTGATGGCTCCAGCCATGGGGCAATGCTGAGCAGACAAATGGGCTACTTCTGCCTAGTACCCTCCAGGGCCTAAGCACAGCTCATCCAGCCCAGTCTGATGTGTGTGCATATCCCCACCCTCTCCGCCCTGGCTCCCAGGAACCCTGATGGCTGGATGGGACAGGCTCCATCCCCTGCCCCCACAACTGTGGATACAGCCAAGCTGGGGCCGGGGATTGTGCATATGTGGCCCTCAACAGCTCGCCAAAACTTGTCAAGTGGTACTCCAGCCCAAATATTTGCTCACCCCTGTGTAAAGACCTCTGAGGAAGGGAAGGTAGTCTTTTTTTTGATCGTTCTTGGAGTTTTTCTGTAGAAAGTGAATTTCAGAAAAATAAATGGACCAAGAAGTTTGCTATCATATTAAGCATGCAAAAAGTTAAATGGTTAAATAATAATTATATTTATACTGTTTATTTATACATTTGCCATTTACCTCCTGGCTCAGTGCTGCCTCCTGGCAGGGGAGTGGCTCCAGCAGGGATTACCCAGGAAGTGGCACAGATCTAGGCTGCAGCATCGCTCAGATTCTGCAACAGGAAGGTAGCTTGTGGTTACCAGGGGTAGTATAGCCAGGCATAGTTGTGCGATGGACCCAGCAGTCCTTAAACAGGAGTGAGCACAGTGGTGGGACTGCCATCAGGTGCCATGGGCAGGCTTAACAGAGACAGGTTCCCCCACATAGCACCCACAGGGGCTCCCGTCTCCTGGGACTGGTGGTTCTTCAGCCCAGAGCCACAGGCATCACCTGCCTCCTGACTGTCCCCCAGTGGTGGATGGATGTGCTGCATAGGATTGTGCCTGAGGCATCCACTTGAGGGCTGAGCACCCTCTGCCAAGAGCTGCACCAGGGCAAGCCCTCAGCTGAGTGGGAGGAGCACGGTGCCAGCCTGGCTGCTGGCAGCATCCAGATGGGGCAGGGAGCAGTGTGGCAGCTGTCAGGGGTGGGTGGGAGTAAAGAATTAGTAACTGGGACTTCAGGCATAGTTGGGCTAGAGGCACTGGGCATGGTGTGGCTGTCCCAGCAGACAGGAGCCCCTGTAGGTGTTGTGTGGAAAGGGGTGCCTGGCTCCATGAAGCTGTGACACCCAGTGGCAGCCATGCTGCTGTGCTTGTTTGTATTTAAACCCTACTGGCTCTACTATTCAACTTTTACTGTGCTCCACTCCCCCAGGTAACTACTAGTTACCTTCCTCTGCAGCAGCCACATGATTCTTCAGCCTGGATCTACACTGGCACCTGGGCAGCTCCTGCTACAGCTGCTCCTGCAACAGCGGACAGTGCAGAGCTGTGGGCCCCGCCACCCTGCACTGCCACTGTTAGCACCGCTGCCTGCCCACTCCTACACTCAATGTGTGGAGCCACAGTCTTCAGTCCTAAGTGGTAGCAGAACTCCCTGCAATCCCCATGCTGCCCTGCCCCTCTGCCACAGGTCTATTTAACCAATATAGTTAAAAGAGTTTAAATGGGTAATTTTTAAAACAATTTTTACATCCCTACATCAGATACAAGGAAAACTGGAGCAAATGGTTGCCAATATAAAATATGTACTCTGGTTTTGTGTATGCTTTGGGTATAGATGTTTAAAGAAGGATAGAAGCCAAACAGTTTGTTTGCAATAGTGTGTGTGGATTAATGTAAAGAAGATTTGCTGTTGTTTTCCCCTAGTTTAACACTGTTATTTTTTTGCAGGATACAACCAATAAAATAATGAAAGCAAATCTTAACCATTCAATCAAAATGAAATGCGATTTTAATTGTAACCACGTCCATAATAGATTCACCCCATTAAAGCCTGATGCAGCAAAGATGAGAGTAGAAGAATCCTGTGCTTCAGATAATGAAATGGTGACTTGTAAAGACTGTGCCAAAGAGTGTCATAATCTACTGCATAATACAAGCCCAAGAAATCTAGACCTGAAAACTGAAGGAAGGCCTATACATAACAAAGAAAACCAGCAAGTACTGTGCAGACTTGGGGAGGATGCCCATGAAATGGAAACACTGGAAAACAGTAGGATTAATGAGGACAGTGGCTACTCTTCTATGTTAAGCAACCAAAGTAATGATCCAACAGACCATGAGGACAGTATACCATTGGCAGGAAATATCTTTGATACACCAAAACACTGTCTTATAAAGAACCAAAGCCAGTTACAGCTTCCAAAAAAAACCTCACTGCCAGTTACTCATTTTGAAGAATTAGTTTGCTCAACTTTGAAAAAGAACGGCAAAAGAAATCTTGGCACCTGGGCTACTGTGGACAGAATTATTTCCAGGGAAAGCATTGGACTTCAGAATCTAATTGGCAGAAAAATGGGATTAGATAAAATAGACATTCTCAGTGAACTCTTCCGAAGGGAGTTCAGACATCTTTTAGCAAACATTTTAAGGCATCTTGATGAAATGGACTTAATAAAGTAAGTTTAATAACTTTCTGACTTTAACTGTGAAAGTGAATAGAGCAGTGGTACTTCAGACTGTAGTTTCTGAGCTAGGAGTACCTCTTGAGTATACCACTGCTGCTTTTCACAAAAAAGAATATTGAACCTGTTTTACTACATTGATTAGTCTGCTCTGCAATCATGAATAATGCAACATATGCTTACTTTTTCTAAACTATTCTTCCCTATTGTACTGTATAAATAAACTAATGTTTTGATTTATTTGGGGTTTTTTTTACTTTTAACTGGACAATGTTTTCTGCAGTTCAGCTGTCTGTCTGTCTGTCTGTTTCAGGAGCTCTGTGAACTAATGCAAGAGCTCATGGAGCTCCTGAAACAGTCTGAGTATAGACGTAGTAAGGTATTTTGGAACCATAAAGGATACTGCTGTTTGCTGAAGGACATGACTTTCGCATTTTAGTCAGTGTTATGCTTTGTACTAATAATTTTGAAAGTGTAAACTTTTAGCATATGTACATTTTGTATAGGGGTGATATGCCCTTTCATAGGAAAACCTCCATGAAAAACACTATGAAGCAAGGGTTTTTCATCTACTCCTATAGATCAATAGTTTGCTAGCCAGTTTCAATATTTAAATAATCGCTTAAAACAGTGAAAATAGAAGTTTTCCAAAATATAAACACATTTTATTTTTTCAGAGAGAGAGAAATAGAATACATTAGGAGTTAACATCTCAGTCCTAGTTATAAAGCATTATTTTTCTGACTTTTGCTTCTTTTATTAATTCTTCATGAAAAGAATAAAATGACAAATATAAATGACAATATTGCCATGCTGAATCAAAATACCAACAAATTGTATCTTGCCTCCCCTCCCCCCCCAGCCACTTCTGTTTATAGTTTCCTTTTGTCTGCTTAAATGATAAGCTTATAGGGACCTATTTATATATATTTACCTTTTATATTTGTGCAATGCCTAGTTTAGTGTGAGTTCAGAAAAAGTAATTTCATGTTTGGGTTATTCTATTTCTTGAAGAGGGGTACTTTTTATTACTAGATTTGAGAACAATTATTGAGCAACAGTTTTACTATTATTTCCGCACAATGACTAAAGTGCTTGTGTTTTCACTACAGTGTTGCGAAAGTAAGCACAACATGGAAGAAAATTCTGCAACAAGACAAATGGGCTTCCCAGCTGTATAGTAAAGCAGTAAAACACATATCTGTAAGTTCCTACCTTTGGATTTTTAATCTAACTCAGAAGTGCCTGACCTGTTGTATAGGCACTGCTTGTGGTCCTCAAGGGTAATGCTATTAAGGAAATTCCTGTTCGATTATAAGCTGGAAATGTATTTACTGTACACTTTGCAGTGGTTAAATTGAAGTGCCCCTAACTTCTTGTGAAGATTAGAGGTTCTGTCAAGTTCAGCTGTAGATATAGAACCTCGAATGAAGCCTTTAATGAACATTCATAGATTACAAGGCTGGAAGGGGCCTTGGAAGATCATCAGGTCCAGCTGCCTACGCTAGGCAGGAAAGACAACTGGGGTCAGGTGACCTCAGCAAGGTGACCATCCAGTCTCCTCCTGAAGATTTCCAGGGTAGGTGACTGCACCACCTCTGGAGGCAGCTTATTCCAGTCTGAACACCCTAACTGAAGAAGTTTTTTTTAATGTTGAGCCTGAAACAGTCTTCCATGAGTTTGTGGTCATTACTCCTGGTTTTCCCCACGGGTGCCCTGGTGAACAGTTGCTCACTGAGCCCTTGATGTATTCCCCCGATGTAGCGATAAGCTGCTGTCAAGTCCCATCTCAGCCTTCTCTTTTTCAGGCTGAAGAGTCCCAGGTCCCTTAGTCTTTCTTCATATGGCTTGCCGTGCAAGTCTGATCATACGGGTGGCTCTTTTCTGGACTCTCAAGCTTTTCCACACCTTGTTAAAGTGCGACACCCAGACCTGGACACAATACTCCAGCTGCGGTCTCACCAATGCGGAGTAAAGCGGAAGAAATATCACTTCCTTGAAAACATGCGTTGTCTTTCCTCGCAAGCAGTGGTTCCAAAGCCTGTCTGCCTGCTGCATTGCAGAAGAAAGAGAGTAGGTCTGATCCCTTTATTTGGCTGCTTCCCTGTGGGCCTCTGATAAGCCTGGGAATTTTGACTGATGCTGTTTGTGCCTGGGACAGTATCTAGCAGCAGATGGTTCTGTTCTTCCCAGGACAACCACTTGGGGACTCCAAAAAAGAGGAAGGAGAGAGGAAACTTGTTGAACAACCTGTTATGAAATCTCAGCCCAAGGCAGATGTCCTTCCAGCAGTGAATGAGAAGATATATGTGCCTTTTCATATGCTTCAAAAATAAACTTATAAGAAGTAACTATTTACAAGCATTATAAAACAAATTACTTCCTGGTATGTGAGCATGCACTATGAATAGGCTTGGCAGGATTTGATTTTTGTTGATAAACATCAATTTCACCTCACACTCACAGACGGACAAAAAAAATCCATTGTTCATAATTGAAACTTATAGAAAAGGGATGTAAGAGAAGTGGCTGGTTGTGTGTGTGTGATGACAGGGGGAGCAGTCCTACAGAACTGTGCAGACTGTAGTTTAGACTGCAAATCCCAGAAGCCCAAGAGGACTGGGAACAAAGGAAAAGGAAGTAACAAAGTGAATGAGGGAGCTGTGGTCAAGCAGAGCTGGAACTGATGGCACCTCTGCCACTCAGCTGGCAGCAGTCCTACAGTAGTTACATTTGTCATTAATAAATTGCTTGTCCCCCACACCCTTAATTTCACTCAATCCTGAAAATTTAAATTGATAAAAGTCTAATTAAATACTTAAAAGTAAACATCAATATCATCCACTAAAATTATTTTTTAAAATTTAATTCTGCCAAGCCTAACTATGAAGTATGCCAGAGGAGAGGGCTTAGTGATCCAATTTTGCAGGGTATCTATGTTTTTGTGAAGCTGGCCCTTTGAAACATTTCAAATGTCTTTGAAATGTTTCCACTGTTATATTTGTCTACCCACTGACAGCTGGCTCTACTGAAAAGCACTCCTTGACAGTCTGCTTCACTACCCCTGAGTTTGCAGGGTAGAGAAGAGGGGGTGAGAAGAGCTGTGGGATGCAGTAGACTCCTGTTATGCCTCTTACCTGGCAAGTACTCTGCTGCATGTAACCACAGTGATTTGGCAGGGGTTGTGTGGTAAGGGCCTGAAGGTCTGTCTGTGACTGAAGCATTCTATTTTTTAAGTGCTTTAAAGTGTAGCTTGCATTTTGAAGAATCAGATGTATCTGTCTTCTGGCTTTAGATTCTTAGCCCCAGCATTAGGGGCTGCTCAGATACCAGTGGTCTCCATGACTCAGCTAGGTATCAGGAAGGCGTCTTATACCAGCCATGCCCAGCATCCAGCAAGTTTATGAGAGATGGTAATATGAGATCCAATTATGTTAGCCTTGGCGGACTCTTTATTCCAAAGACTAGGCATTTATTCCTGAGTGGTGCAAAGGAAATGGAGCAGGCTAGAGAAGATACCATAAAAGATGTGATTGTGACCTCTTGTTTTGAACTGTTGACCTTAGGCTGAAACCATTGAACACCATTGATACAAATACAGGTCCCATTACACTTGCTTCTTTCTTTGCTAATCTTGTGTGCAAGCCTGGAACATCTGAACTAGAAGTTTACTTTTTAGGACAAAAAAAAATCACAAGCATTCCTATCTATCACAACAGAATTTCAAGAAAAGATTCTTTGGAGAGATTTAGTTTACTGGAATTAAATTGCAGATTTTCTAAAGGAAAGGATTTTTGTGGGTGTTATGTTTTATTGGACCAACTCCATGGTTGGGACAGTTTTAGTCAAGCTTTTGAAGAAGAATGTACTGCATTCAAAAACTTGTCTAAGTCAGTGATTCTCAACCAGGATGCCATGGCATTCTGGGGTCCCTTGAGATTCTTTGAGAGGTGAGATCATAGAGTGCCACACAATGTTAGCATTGTTGGGTGTGCAAACATGATTCACAAGATAAAACCAGGCATAATATTAAAAACATGTTGACTTGTTATAGTCTTTCTGAGTCAGTATTTTCTGAGGGGTGCTTTGAATCTAAAAAGGTTGAAAACCATTGCTCAAAGTCTATCCAAACTATGCAGTTGGCCCAATAAGAGAGATCACCCTCAAAAATCCTTACCTCTTGCATATTTTCTGGACCATCATAGCTACAACATCATTCCTGCACTACCATGATTTAAACGACTAAAACCATTGTTAATTTGGAAATAACTTGCAATATAATTGAAGATTTTAAAGGACTGGCTCGCATTCTCATGTGCACTTAAAATTGTAATGATGGTAAAGTGATCAATTAGCTAACTATCCAGACTCAGAAATATTGGAAATCTAGTGGCCAGAGAAAGGCTTAAGAATACAACCCCATTACTCTTAAAGGCACTCAAGTTATTTTACGTCAAACTGAGTTGTCAAAGAGAAGCCTTGTTAAATTTTAACCTCCTTTTACCTCCCAACAGGACAGCAATGCAAAACCCTCAGAACAGGCTGCAACAAGGGAATATGTTCTGTGTCGAGCGGCTTTAGCTTCTGTTCAGAAAGCAGTACCACCAAGCATTTCATGCAAGAAATCATCCAGAGCCAAAGCACCCGATCAGAACAGTCCTCACAGCAGACTTCTGGAGTTTTCTGAGGTAACTGTCATTTGTTTTCATCTTCAACTATGGGCGTGCTGTCAAGCATTTTCAGTATCTAGATTTATCTGACATCCAAAACAGCCATTTCTGACTTAATGAAGTCTGCTGGGACTATTGTTTGGCCACTACTTCAATTTATTACCCATTTAGAAATGTTTTTGAGATTTAACTCAGTTGAATAAGTTTCTAAGTTTTAAAAGTCCACAGTAAAGCTTCCTCACTAGGCAGAGGTGTCCCTAACTATTAATAAATTGAGTTAATGCTTTCATCAAGTTGTGGAAGTAGTAATATTCAGTATATTTTTTCTTTGGCTATTGCCACTTTTTTGCTGCTTTTTAGCGTTTTGCTGATGATTTTTTTGCTGCTTTTTTCCAAATGAACTGCAATATGATTTAATCTGTTTCTTGTGAAAATAAAATTATTTAAAATATTGGTGTACATGTTATTTTAGTCAAATATGCAAAGATATACATGACTAGCAAACTTTTTTCACTGAAATGTAATAGTTCTTAGCCAGATTAAAGCTACCCTGTATTTGAAAACTCATTGTACAAATAAACATTACTTTATAGCGCTAAAAATGTGACAGCGTTATTAGAAACAAGAGTATTTGTGATTTAATTAGTTTTCATTGTGCAGGCGAGAGAAATGTGTTATTTTGTGTGTGTGTGTGCATACACATACATATACACACATGCGTATAAAGAAAATAACAACTGGAAAACTGGATTCTTAGAACACTTATCTTTGATACCACTGACATAAGAAATGTGTTTACATTACACAGATATGAATTTTCAGGCATCAGGCACAGTGATTTGGAGTGCATCTGTTTTTAGGCTAAGTGCAGACCATCAAAAAGCCTGTCACTGAAGCAATTCAACCTTTGAAGGTTAGTCTAAGCTGTGTAGATTGAACCACTAAGCAAGTGAACATTCACTTTTGATTCTGGAAGTGCAGCCACATGCCTGCAGTGGCACAGGTCAGAAGCCAGGGAGTGCTATAGTACATCTCTGTGCTCAGTTGGAGCAGACAACTTGGCCAAGTCTACCCTGCCCACTTGCCAGGGGGAGGGTTTACAGGGGAGGTGCAAAGCATCTTGGGAGATTAAACATACAGTAGTATAAGTGATCATAAACTGGTTCAAATCTGTAACAGAACAGAAGTTCAGTATACATGAACCACTTTCAAAATGGCTGAAACTTTTAAAATAAGTATGGATGGATGTCGTATAACTGATTTAGTTTAAATCAGTTTGTTGAACTTCTGTCCCAGATCTCCTCCAGATTCAAGTGAACTCACAGCCCTCAACATCCCAGGATGCTTGGTACCTCTCCTGCAAACCTCACTTCACAAGATGGGCAGGCTAGCCTTGGCCCAAGCTCTGTGCTCCAGTGGAGTTAGGGAGGCATGCTCTAGTGTTGCCCAGCTTCTGGTCTTGGCCACTGCAGACATGGGACTGCATTTCTAGAATCAAAAGTGAATGTCTGTTCACTTGCTTATCAGTTCAGTCTATGCAGCGCAGACTAACCTGCAAAGGTTGAATTGATTCAGCCTCAGGCTTTTTGACTGTCTGTACTTAGCCTATGATAGCTAATCCAGGCATTAGAATAGTAATAATTTAAAGACTACAGTGAAAGCCTAACAGTTCCCTGTTCCTGATTACCATACCAATGTTATCTTAAGATCATCTTGAGTAGCCCATCAACATGTGTTTTTAGGTGGATTAATTTCCATAAAATCGCCAAAAGAGTTCCTACCTAAGTCCCAATTTGTGTGTTGATAATTTATCTTTCAACAGAAGAGGGAGATATGACTGCATTATGTCCCTGTTACAGAGCAAGGAGAGAAACTGGGAATGGTATATATTAATTTATTCCTGTGATTTTCTTTTTGATAAAAAAAATTATGTATATTTTCTTAATAGGCTGCCAAGACCTTGAAAAACACTGAGAGCCTTAAAGTCTGCAGTCGCTGTGGCTCACCTGCAAAATATGACTCCTATCTACAAAGGGCAACATGCAGCCGTGAAAGCTGTAACTTTGACTTCTGTACCAAGTGCCTATGCAGCTACCACTGTGCCAGAGACTGTATGAGTAACAAGCCTGTGAAATCTAGCTTTAATCTAGGACCACTTCCCGGCACCAAAAAAAGCAAACAACATTTGCGGAGGTTGTGACCTGTTGTGCTCGTAGTAGTGACAAGTGCACTGGAATGGTTAATTCCTACTCAGAAGATATCCTGACAAAAAAGTGAACATGGAAGCGCTTCTTGTGAATATGTACTTTTAAAAAAGAAAGCTGAATGTATTCTAGAACCATTTCTTAGTTCTACTCAATTTTAAAACTTTGTCCAATTCAAAACATATTTTCCTGATGTATACATTTAAAAGAAAAAAAATTGATATGGATATTCTACAGCATCTTTTAAACAGTGTTCTAACCTATCAGTCCTAATTTGCAATGTCCCTATTTTTAAGTTATTTTGGGAATGTAGTCTTAAGTGTCTTCAATTAGTATTTTTCAATGGTAAGAGGAGAGAAAAGAGCAACATGTTTTTAGAGAATGGGTATATTTTTATAATTGTTGCTTTTATTACCACAGAATCGTCTTTTTAAAAGTTTTCAGTGGGAATTTGAATTTGAATGCACACATTAGGGAGGTCTCTTATATAAGAAAAATAAGTTATGGTGGGCCCTTGATTATAAGGAGGTCTTTGGGAATTTGTCACCTTGCTACAGTTTGAAGTTTGAAAGTTGACAACATCAGCTAATCTAATGATTTACCTGAAATTAATCTTAGATTTAGTTGATAGTTCTTCATTTTCCTTCTTGTAAGATGAAGAAGCTGCAGACTGTGATAAACCTGTTACCATACCCTTCCCTACCAAAAAAGTAAATTGGGATAATACGTGGCATTACCAGAAGAAAATCACATTGGTTTGATTTTCCCTTCTTTCATAATTATATGTTGCATTTTAAAATTCTGTATATATTTGTAAATATTACTTTAAATATTTTCTGTGTGTCTTCTCTGTTGTGAATGTGAAAATAAATTATGCGTTTTCAAGAGAATTCATGAAAAAACTCTACAATTCTTGATTATATTACATCGTTTCTAGAGTTTAACCCTTCTGCACTGCCCAGTCCCTACAATTTAAGTTTTTAAACCAAGACTGTACTCTAATTTTTGTGTAAAACGTCTATTAGATTCAGTCCTGTGGTGGTCTACTTATAACTTCAGGGAAGCTAGTGGAAGTTACTGTAATGTAACATCCAAGAAAAAAAACCATAATAGGTGGCAGATGTATTGGAGGCTTAAAAGTTAGCACCATAAACTATGTAGACCTAGACTACCGGCTCACTTAAAGTATAATTTGGCTCTCTCTCCAGAGACTTTTTCATTGCTCTTAAGTGCCATAAAATGGCCAGTTTTGAAGCAAATAAGCTGTAATTATCTGGGTGTTTGCAACAACCTTTAGGCCCTTACATCTTGGCTAGATAAATAACAGGTATTAAGAAGGCAACCCAGTAAGTTCAACTGGGCACATCTACACTAGATGCTCTACTCTACATTAGAGCAAATTACTACATCGCAGTCTACACATGCAGATGCTTATTGCACAATAATTTGCTCTAACTGCAAGTAAATTTGCTATCTGTAAATATAAGGAACAAATTTACTCAGGAGTAATTACTACAGAGTATGACAAATGTAGACAGCCAACTGGGAGCAAATGTGCTCTCAGGCAGCCGGGAGCGAAAGATTGATCCCTGACCCTGGGCGCAGCCTGCTTCTGGGGGAAACTCTACCACCAGAGCCTAGGCTATCACAGAGCAGGGACTGGGAGCTCCCTGCTGCTAGGGCAGGGGTACATTATACCCACTCAGGCTCCAGTGGTGGAGCATGTCCTGGCAGTAGGCAGCTCTGAGGGGCAGGGAGCAATCCCCCAGCCCCTGCCAGGAAACAGCTGTCTCCTGGCTCCCTGTCAGCCCCTGGTCTAGCACCCAGGGAGGGTTGCCCTAGAATACCCCTGGCTGCTGTAGGGGGCCGGTGCAGAGTTGGGGTCAGGAGCAGACTGCTGCCATGAGCAGCAAACCTGCTCCTGTTTCCCCACAAGTGTAGATGCCCACCTGGTTTGGGTTTACTCTGATAAATTACCCTAGAGTAAACCCATCCCAGAGCATTTGCATGTGTAGATATGCCCACTGAATCTAATTTTTTCCTCCTTGGATCTGTCCACAGAGCAGTATCAAAATGCTACATCCCAGCTAAGATAATGCTCAGCCTCTTCACCCCTTCATAGTAGCAACAGTTTGCATAGTGTACAAGATTGACTATTTATGGTTAGAAACTGGTTATCACAGCTAAAGCTATGATGGTCAGAACACAAGTGATTGCTTGAGCCTGTCTACACTAGTACTTTTCATCATTGCAGCTCTATCTTTAAAATGTTTTTAAGGATAGAATAATTTTCCTGGAGGGGTTTGCATGGGAGATGCAGCTCAGGGAGGAAATACAGAAATTTGTATTCGGTCCCATTTGCCAGGTAAGATAAAGAGCTTTAGTGAATATAATTATTACAATATTACACATTACTAGGCAAGGTATTTCCGAAAGCTTGTTAACTTCCTACAATGTATCTTGGCTCTCCACCTTTATGTTGTGATGCTTTTATATTGGATTCCCAACTTCCTAATGGAATAAATGTTTTGTCTTGGCTGCAACCCCTTGCTCCTACAGAACATTTGGCATCTTTGCTCAAAACATCTCCGTACCTATTTTGGAAATCAATTTTATGAAACATATGGAGTCTTGAGTTTCCTGTTTTTTTCAGATGTCCTATTTCCAGTCCCTGCTAGATGAGCAAAGTACAAGGAGAAAGCCAAGACACGGAAATGTGTTGTTTGTAGCTAATATTTTCTGCCTCCTGCGTGACTTTGAGGCCATCATTCCTTCCTTCCTAGCTACAGTGTGGATAAGGACTTGGACCAAATTGATTTAGTGGGCACAAGTACAGAGGCAGCACAGGGCTATGTGAGGTAGATGTGCTTACAACAATACTTCCCACTGTCGCAGAATTGTTGCTGAGATAGCAAGGGTTCCACAGCAAGTCCTTCCACTAAATCTGGCATGTCTTGGACTCCTGTTTTGGCTGCAAAGTATATAATATATTCTAATGGTCTTAGAATTTCCTGCAGCTTCCTGTTAATCAGCTAGCAAGGATGCCACCAAATATGGCTTTTGGATCCCTGATGTTAAACAAAATCTCTTCTGCATAATTCCATTAAAAAAGTATACTATTCCCAACACATGCAATACTGCTGCTCCTGTGGCTTCAGTGCTGTCTCAACCTCAGTCTTGTATCAACTGTAGTCAGAATAAATATTTAAGAGGGGGCCTCACCACCTTCACAGTCCTAGTAAACTGAATATTTAGCCTATAGCGAGCAAGTTAAAAAAGATAATTTTTACCTTGTTTTTCTACCAGTTCCCAGATTCTCCTCAGCTTCAAAGGGAATTCCAAAGAACACAGATAATCCTGTTCCCTGACTCTGGTTTTGACTCAGACTGATTTCTTTGACCTAGAAGGTCCATCCTTACATCTTTGACCTTTGCAATACAGACAAAAATCATGTAATCTCAATTTGTTGCTGACCCTGTCTGAAAGACAAGTCAAAGAGATCAAAAAAAAAGAGGAAACGTTTTGTGATCTAGTTTATTGCTCCCAAAAGAAAGCAAATTATCCATCCAACAAAAGGGAACAGAAATTCAAAAAATTCCTAAGTACCTTTTGAAAATAATGTTTACCTTATCCCATCCTCAGCAACTAGAATGAATAGTAGGTGATTCATAGATAGTAAGGCTGGAAGGGACCTCCCAAAATCATCAGGTCCAGCCCCCCATACTAGGCAGGAAAGAGAACTGGGGTCAGATGACCCCAGCAAGTTTCCTGTCCAGTCTCCTCTTAAAGATTTCCAGGGTAGGCGATTGTACCACCTCTGGAGAGAGCTTATTCCAGTCTAGACACCCTAGCTATGAAGAAGGTTTTTTTCCTAATGTTGAGCCTGAAATGGTCTTCCAGGAGTTTGTAACTATTACTCCTAGTTTTCCCCGAGAGTGCCTCGGTGGACAGTTGTTCACCAAGTCCTTGATGTATGCCTCTGATGTAGTGGTAAGCTGCTACCAAGTCCCTTCTCAGCCTTCTCTTTTTCTAGCTGAAGAGGCCCAGACCCATCAGCTTTTGCTCATATGGCTTGCCATGCAAGTCTCTGATCATACAGGTGGCCCTTCTCTGAACTCTTTCAAGCTTCACCACGTCCTTATTAAAGTGTGATGCCCAGAACTGGATGCCGCACTCCAGCTGCGGTCTCACCAATGCCAAGTAAAATGGGAGAATCACTTCTTTGGTTTTGCTGGAGATGCATCGATTGATGCATGCCAGGGCATAGTTAGCCCTGCTGGTTACAGTGTTGCATTGCTGGCTCATGTTCACGCTGTGGTCAATTATTATGCCCAGGTCCCTTTCATTTGTAGTACTGGTCAGGTTGGCATTGCCAAGCCTGTAGGTGTGCAGGGGATTGTTTGTCCCTAGGTGGAGCACTTTACATTTCTCGACATTGAACTTCACCTGGCTCCCATCCACCCAACTTGCAACAGGTCTGCCTGTATCTGCAGCCTATCTTCATGTGTGGCCATGCTTCCCCATAACTTGGTGTCATCTGCAAACTTGGCCAGTGAGCTTTTCACCCCCACATCCAAATAATTGATGAAGATGTTGAATAGCACTGGACCAACCACTGACCCCTGTGGGACACCACTGGCCACTTCCCACCAAGACAGAGACAGATCTGTTCATTAGAACTCTCTGGATCCTACCCTACAGCCAGCTTCCTACCCACCTGACTGTCTTGCAGTTAAGCCCATGGTCTTCCAATTTTCTTGCAAGAACACTGTTGGATACTAGATCGAAAACTTTTCGGAAGTCGAGGTATATAATCTCAACCTCCTCTCTCATGTGATGGCTAGAACCAGAAGGGTTAACAAGCAACTTAGAGCAAAAAAGAAAATGCTTTTTGAAGGTATTTGAAATAGAGTTTATGAAACTGTTTCTTGTCTGTCTGGAGTATAACCTGTAAGAATTATACAGCTGCTTGCACTAGTTTTGAGACAGCATGAGTTTTAAAAAGCAGAACTAAAGAATAAAACTGCAAATCTAGCTGATTTAAGAATTTTTCGCTTAAAGTCAGCAAAATTAACGGATCTAGCCCCAAGGTATAATTAATATAGTGGGTTGAACTTGGGTTAATCTCAGACTCTAAAGTGATGTGATGTGATGTGATTTGCTTATTGGGTAAACCTAAACTTAAGCAATAACTTATTATAATGATTTTTAACACTTTTTAACTCCATAGGATAACAGCTATAAAATAAGATTGTAAGTGGCTAGAAAGCCAACAAATTAGCACAGACAAGCTATAAAAGAACATACACATTAAGTGACCCACAGGAAGGATGGAACAGAAGAGTCATTGCTGTCCTATGCCCCCAGATCTCTTACTCCCTGTGTGAGAGAGGACCAGATCCTGACTGAGGGACTTTCCCCCGGTTCTCCCTCTGACAGCGTGGATCGGGGATGCTTGACTTCGCTGAATCAACTTGACGTGTACTTGAGACTGAGGGACTATTGATAAGTTGCTAACCAAGTGGGAACTCTTAGTTGATTTTTCTGTCTGTTTTTATTACCACTGCCAATTTTAACTTGTAGTGTTATGTTATCTGTTTATTAACTTAACCTTTTTACTAACTGTGACATGTGCAAACTATATCTTTTGCTGTTATAAGTAAAACTAATTCTTTTTTATAAGTGAAACTTGTCATTGCTTTCCTCCCAACATCACCTACTCGATCCCAAACCAAAAAAGCCCAGTGGCTAATATAAGTTGCAGTACTTAGTCAGCCTGCAACTAAATTGATATACTCACAGTGCCCAGCTAGCCTATGACACTCTTATCCAGGTGGCGAGGCACCTGATTATAAAAGGAGATGAGGTTGGTAAGACAAGACCTGCCTACAACGAAGCCATGCTGGCTGTCATTTAGAATCCTACCTTCTGCAAGCCGGTCACATATAGACTCCTTAATGAATTTTTCCAGGATTTTCCCTGGGATAGAAGTTAGGCTAATTGGTCTATAGTTACCCAGGCCCTCCTTCCTCCCTTTCTTAAAGATGGGCACAATATTGGCCCTCTTCCAGTCCTCAGGAACCTCCCTGGAGCGC